TTGGCTAGGCGCTTTTGCCTAGGTTTTATGCTATTCCTAAAGCGAAGGCGCTCACTTTGGTGTTTATTAATTTTTCATAACAAATCAAGAGATACATTTCATTGATTTAATAGTAAGAATATTTTTCTTGGAGTAGAGTTTGTCGTTAAACAGTAGTTTTTATCTGCAAACCCTGATTCTCTTATTCTACTAAAGAGTTAGAGAATGATTTAGAATCTGAGTATTAGAGTTTCAGGAATTGGTTGCGAGTTTCAGGAATTGGTGTTTTGATTTGATAATTTCAGTTGGTGTTCTTGCTATTTAGACCTCATAAGTTGTAACGTTGTTTTGAACTTTTAGATTACATTCTAGTGGATTTTGGTGTTTTTATTTATTTTAAACCTAAGTTTCTTCAAAGCTATTAGATCTTAACATGAGTGTGTAGAGCTTTTAACATGACTCTAGAGTTTTGATTAGTTTTTGTCAAAGCATACATATTTATCTATTATATTCATAAATTGATCTATTAAAACCTAGAAAATATCACTGGTTCAGACTACACCAATTTGTTTTATAACTCGTATCCAATTAGCTGATTAACATAACAATAAATTTCCTAGCCTTTAAGATTTATAAATTTACTGTTGGTTCTTATTTTAAAATATATAAAAAGATAATTAGGATAAAAGAATATAGTTTTAAAAGGAAACACGAATCATATATAGTAAATAACACCGATTTGGAATCATATATAGTAAATAACACCGATTTGATGCTATCTTTGCTTCATTGTTTATGCTTTAGTCAGATTGTGAACTTTATTTAATAAACCTATGTTGTATAGTTAGATAATGTATAATACTTTGTGACGATGGTTTATGTAGAAACTCATGTTGTAGATCGTCTAGAATATTTAAGTCATTTCATGGTTGGAAAATATGTGAAGCAAATGATCGTTCAGCACATGCCACAAGAATTTGATCAGGAAGAGTTTGAGATGTTAATTGAAATACCAATAGCCAAAGGATCTATGGTAGTAGGGTTTGATGTTTTTCCAAGATACAATGAAGAATTCTCGCGACAAATAAATATAAAAAGTGATATTATTCTCTTATACGTAGCTGATTAATATTTTATAATTTATCTTAATATCTTGTGTAAAAACAGTACATATGAATTTCAGATAATATTCAGTCCAACAAAGACCGAGTGTCATATGCGTGCCTATCAGAGATTTCCGAGGCATTGCGTGGTTTTGATGGGAAAGTTGTACATGTTCATGTCTCAATTATCCAATAATTTTGGGAGGCACATGAATGCTGGGGGAAGATTTTGGAGACTAGGGTTTTGTTCGATTGGCTTAGCACAAATGTATAATCATAAAAGTTGTGGAGTTGAAGGTAAAAACTTTTTACTGGTTGTTTCCATTTAAATAATAATATTGGCTTTTTAGTAATTAATTAATGTATATTTTGTGTTTTAGGTATGATCAAGAAGATTTAATCAATGTATCATTCTCTTATTAGCTATCCAGGATTTTGTTATCTATTGTTTCTATATGTTGAATTTCTTAATATATCTGTCACTTCTGGATGTTGACTTTCTTAACGTATCTATCACATTAGTTAATTTTTAATTGACTGTTAAGTAAACAGTTATTCTCTTATTATGTAGCCACATAACTCTTAATACATAAATATCACCATAGCAACTTAAAAATTTGAATAAGAACTACACAAACACTGATTTCTCCTACTCAGATATAGACAACCAAACGACAATGTACACAACCCTCTCCTGACTCAAATAAAGACAATGCAGTAACAATGTATACAACAACACATTTACGCTGGGGTTTGCCCCTAATTATATATTAATAAGCGAAAATATATTATAAATCCAAACACACAAAACCCAAATAAATGCAGGGACTAAAAAAGTTCTGATTTTAGTCTATTTCATAATCATTAATCAAAATAAGGTCTAATTAAAAGTAATCAATGCAATTTCGAAAAAAATAACGAAATCAATAAAACTGTTTATGAGCAAACTCATATATATATGTAGAAGAATATTTTATTTAATATATACATACAAATTATAAAACCATTTAAAAATTATTCAATTAAAACATAAAATACTAATCATTTAATTTTAAGATAATTTACGTATTTTATAAATGTTTATCGCCATGAATTGAACATTAGAACTTGCATGTCCAACTTGACATCACAAACAAAAGCCTACAAAAGCCCAGTTCACACCGCCCAATTGAAACAACCACAACCGCGCTCAGTCTTTCTCTTCTCATTTAAACTAATCATGTACGATAGAAAGCTCAAGAGATGCTCCACTTCATCCACCCATGTAACTTTCTTCTTCTTCTTCTTTGATCACTTTGTTTTTCTCTACTAATAGTTTTTGTTTCGTTTTCATATAAATGACAAGTAGTGTTAGATCACGGTTTGACCTTTTGGTTTGATAAAAGTAATCGAGAAAATAATAAAAACAAAAAAAATTGCTTGGAAAGATCAAAATATATGAAATTCCAAAATTAAAAAAGATCAAAATAATCACCCTGAGCATGTTGTGGTAGTTGAATTTGGTGGCGAAATCAAAACGAAAGTGCCAAGATATTATACAAAATTATAAATGACTTAAAACTTACTAAATTATAAAACAAGACAATAATGATTAAAACAATCAATGTATTTTATAAATATTTATCACCCAAAAATCAGTGTTAAACTGAATATTAAAAACGTGCAGCTCCAACTAGAGAATCACAAGCAAAGCCCACCAAAGCCCAGCTCACACCGCACAATATAAGGGACGTGTTTATTCTTCGCGGTTCACCACCCTATCGACACCAACCAAACTCGCCGTCGTCGTCTTTCTCTTCTCTTTTAAACTAATCCATGGACGAGCGCAAGCTCAAGAGATGCTCCACATCATCCACCCACGTAATTTTGTCTTCTTTAGTCACCTCTTTAGCCACTTTTTTCACTCTATTATATTATTTTTTGGGTTTTTTTTAGGCTGAAGCAGCTGATGATCCTATGCAAAAGGGTAAGAAAATAATTGAGAGTTTCTCTTTCTTTGCTATGCAATAGTTCTTGTTGTGTGTAATGTAATCATCTTATTTTCTTAAACGCATATATAATTATCTATGCTCATGTTTATTTTTACGTGATTATAGAAGAAAATTAGGTTATCCAACTGTATTCTGTAAATATTGAACTATTATTTTTTTATGAAGCAGAAAGAGAGTTGAATGATTTGGAGACAGAAGTTAATATTCGGAAGAAGCAGAAGCAGGTTATGTTTTGTCTTAATAATATTGTATAAGTGCTTAGTTGATCTACATCTTGTTAAATGCAAATAATTATAGAAATCCTTGTTTGTTCTACAGGAGGAAGAAACCACAGAGAAGAAGAAAGAGTGTTGTTATGACACTAAAGATGCAGAGGGAAACAATGAGCGTACCATATTCGTTACGGGGTTTGATACTAGCGGTTCAAGGGATGAGATCAGGAGCGCATTGGCTAAACATTTCAGTTCATGTGGAGAGTTGACAAGGGTTTTTGTTCCCATCGAGTGTGAAACCGGTGTTTCCATAGGATATGCTTTTATTAACCTGAAAAGACGTGCTGGTGACATTGAGGCGGCGTTATCTCTCAATGAAAGTGACTTGGGAGGTCGCAAGCTTCTCGTAACAATGGCTACAAAAAGAGAGGAATACTATATCCACATTAACTTTAAAGGCTGTGAAATTTGCCTTGCTATGTTTGCTGCCAAACGTCGGGAACGGTACAGATGGAAAGCTCAACCTAGAAATGGCAGAGTCGCGATCTTGTACGTCAAACCTCTTATTGTGACTATTTAATTCTTGTTAAACGTATTTCTCTTGTTATTAAATTTGTGGTCTTAATGGTGTTTATTGCAGATCTCCAGAAACTGAAAAATGGTTGCGTCAGATTCGCAAGATTCCCAAGATTCGCAAGATTCGCAAGATGGCCAAGTCTAAAACCAAAGAAGGCTAATATTTTTTACTTGTTTCTCGCGACCAGCTCCATCAAACGCTTTTTTATATCATCTTTATGTGCTATTTAAAAAAAAACATATATTATGCTTTTTTTAGCTGCATTGTTTATGATCAGATTATGAACTTTTCAATAATAAACCTATGTTGTGTATTTTTGCTTGAATCATATTATGATCTTTCTTTAATAAATCTGTTTCGTACATGTTCTTTAATAGAACTGTTTTGATGAAAAAATCAATCTTTAGTCATGTGATGGACATTCTTTCTATATATTTTACTTACATAAGGAACGAATATAACTAGAGCTTAGATTTGTGTATCTGTACAATCATTGGTGATATCAACGATGACAATTGTTGTCATGAATAATAACAAATATCCCCACTTATGTTAAAAAAGAGTAGTAGCACAAGCAAGGGAGTGATTCAAAAGGTAATGAGAAATTGTTTTTAAAGGTGATATCAATTTTGGTGAATGAATAACAAATATCCCACCACTTGTGTTGAAACGAGTAGTAGCAGTAGCACTAGCAAGGAGTGGTTGCCAAAGTAAAAAGAGCGTAGAAAAAAAAAGATTCTCTTTTGTTCCAATAACTTTTTTGTTTGGTCTTTAAAAGAAGAGTAGATTTTGTTTGGAAGTGTTCTTTGTGCTGGTATGATCGGTTGGAGAACCATATACCAAAGCACACAAATGATTTCACATTACATAGCCAACTAAAATAATCTCATGAAAAAAAAAGATAGGAAAAACCACAAACATCCGTTACACTAATACAAATTCCGGAGTTTACTTACAACATGCACACACAGTATATTATGATAACATATATTTAAGCAATGACAGTACATATCTGATGTTCTGGCTGAAATATAAATTGTATAACCTACCTGACTCAAGCGCGCTTCTTGGTGCACTCATCATCAAACAAGAACCAACACGACAGAAAAAAGTTAACTATGTACCAAGCGATCATGACTCAAGAATCACTCCAACTATCTGAATCGTCATCCTCATCGCTTCCAGCCATTGCCTGCACCAGTGTGTCATACCGTGTTTTGAGATATGTGAGCCATAGAGAAAACAAGTTGATATTGTATTTGGTCATGAGGCCTTTAAAATTATGAAGGACCACAAAGAGTAAAAATAAGGAGATGACGACGGACCTGGCGTATTGTGTTTGCTTTTTCTAAGATTGCAGCTACTCTGAAGTTCGTTTTAGGACCAGTTTGAATGCTTGGACGCGTCGCTACAGCAGGTTTCAGACTAACGGACTGCATAAACAAAGCAAAGGTCATACAACTCCTGATCAAATCTTGTGTGTAAGGTAAGAACTAAGAAGAATGTGTGTTACCTTGTTTCGTATTTGCGCAAGCAATGAATCTTTGTCATCTTGCTTTGATTTGATTGGTGGTTGGACCCTCTCGGAGACTTTCTTCAACTGGAAAATCATTAGAACAAGGGATTAGAGACACATTACTTTTAGTAAAAGCATGGTAGTGCATACAAGATGTAATTGTTACCGTGCGTCTGTCATGAGCTGCAACGGCATCGACAAGCGGACTTCTTGGACGGGGAAGTTTAACCATAGGGACCTCTTCTAGTCTATCTGTGTCCAATGTAGGTGCAACAGTGAATGCGTTGACAGGCCACATAGCATCTCCCACTGAGGCAGGAGTCATCTTCTGAACCGAAGAGTTTGATGGTTCTGCGGTTTCTGCATTTGAAGCATCAGGATCAGAATGGCCATTATCTTCTACCTTTGCTGACTGAGGTGGTGTCAACGCTTCGGTTTCAGGACAATCTTTCTGACCTCTTGAGGTTTCTGAAACCTGCACATCTGTGTCGTCTTCCAAATCTTCTTCTTTAGCTGAAGGATCCTGAGGCATCTGCGATGACGACTCTTGTAAAGAAATGAGCTCTTGGTTCTGAGAAGTATGGTCAGCCAAAAGATTGTTCTCTTCAGAACCAACATCCACTATACTCCCGTGGTTAGGAATGGCAAGGAGCTCAGTGGAAAGATCCGCTGGCTGAGTTCCCTGAGGGCCAAAACTGTCGTAATGACTATTCAAATCAGTGGCAACGGATGAGAACTGAATGGATGAATGCAATGGATTTTCTGATTCACTGGTCATAGACTCTCCAGGAAGTTGTTCTGATTTCTCCCTTACTAGAGATTCAGACAGCTCTGGTGTTGACCCCATTTGAACATTCAAGCTCGATCCCAAGGGTGGTGCGGCTGACGGAGCAGAACTACTGGTTTCGCCTATTTCTCCCATGAAGTTAGGAAGAAAAGATTGTGGAGCCTTTCCAATACGCCATTGCATAGGAGGAAGGGGCGGGAGCGGTGGCATGTCCTCCTGATTAGGTGTAGCGGTCTCAGGGATCAGACCAAAGCTAGGGAAAATAGGATCCAGATTCAACTCTTGCTTATGATTGTTCCATTCCATGCCTGCTGATTGTGGTACAAACTCTAAGCCCCTGGAAACACTTGACTGCTTCAACTCCTCATCTTCTAATGCATGGCTTACACAAGGCGTTTTCACTTTAATCGACGGCTCGGTAGTCAAACTCTCTAAAAGGTTCAGATTATTCGCTGGCAAAGAGTCTATGCCATTTTCAT